TTGAATTATACATTTTAATGAAATTGCAAATATAAATGGTTCTTGTTGACTTTTGGCATTATTATAATGTATTATGTAAAATTAGGAAGAATAAGAATGTACGTACTTACCTTTTCAAATCGTCGTCCGTCACAACACAATACCAGAAATGAGTTAGTAATTGAATGAGCTGAAAATTTAGCCATAATTTTCAGGAAATCTCCATCGGTAACGGTACTGAATAATAAAGTAATTTCTCGGAAATTCTAAAAAAAATTCCATTCCAGGAATTCTCGGAAGCAATGCTGCAAGTGCTGGTGAAATTACAGGCACATGGGTCATTTTAACTTATGTTTCAGGTTGACGGGCGCAGTGTTAGTGCCTCTGAGATCTGAGATGAGTGGCACTGCAATTGCTGTGGACAGGTATGTCGCTTCCCAGCAGGCGCACGATTCGTTCGTTCCTTCACTTAGTATCATAAAAAGCCTAATAGAGTGTGTGCTGTTGTATTGGAATCTGTCATCCATTTAGCTTTTTGTCGTGTCACTGAAATTACTGGTATGACGATGATTATTGAAAAACAAAACTTTGTTTAATTAATGATATTTTCCAGAATTAACTTTTGCTCGAATTTTCATAACCTCGAAAGCAACTTTGAGAGGAAAATGTTTTTTCTTTTAAACCTAACCAAACCGAACCTAATCGTGTCTTTGCGATAAACATCCAACATATCCTGAAAGAACAATGGTTTCGTTATAATTCGGTTTTCGGTGTAATGAAAATTCGAACAAACGTTATTTCGGAAAAAAAATTCGAGTTTGTGATACCGGACTGTCACGCAGAGGTTCCAGTTTCGATTCACGGGCCGGGAGAAATATTTGTATGGTCTACATTTATTTCTCTCGTGAGTGTGTAATTTGTGGTTGTCTATGTGTATGTCTGCGACACAGGGTTTTCCTAGTGCGGGGCTATGTTGAGTGTATGCGTTAGTATTATTACTATATTTGATTCAAATAAATAGTACATTGTGTAATAAGGGCGTTTAATAAGAAATTACTATCGATAGTTCGTCGGAAGCCCGAAATCGAAGGGATTAATGACTCGAGGCTGAATAAATATCGCTTCACAATACAAAATAAATTAAGTAGCATATAGATAAATTGCAAATGTTTAGTTCTTTTTTATAGTTCAAGTTTATGCAAAACATACGTTTAAATTTTTCTAGCATAAAAACTTTTTGCTTAATCTTGACATAACGTAAAAAAATCCATAGTGCGATAATGTAATTAAAAACCCCGTGGGCATAATTTAGGACACTACGGTCGACTTTGCCTGCATGTCATGACACTGCTTACGAGCAAGTGTGACGAAAAAATTTATGTAACAAATACATTCTCTTCAGAAATGAAACTATTTTTTGGAATTTAAATTCGGTATATTTGTTTTTGCAAACAAACCAACGTTTCGGGCCCATTACAGGTCCCTGGTCATGTCTGGCATGGGATTTACATACGTGGTTTAGATCTGAAATAACTGACGCTGACGTCAAAAGTTTGTGGAATTACATCTATTGGCCAAGTTTTATTAAAATCGCTTAGGTGAGTGAAATCCAATAAACTGGATCCATCCCTTAATTTCCCACCCTTAGAGGTGGAATATTTTCTTCAAATTCGAATGGGACGAGATACCGCCTTTCTAACAATAAAGAATCATTGAAATCGATTCATAAATCGCACCCCTCACGGAAGAATGGCATAAGTGGAGTTACGTAAATCTATCGACTAATATTTGTTGCAGTGCTCTCCGTGGACGTGAAATAATACCAAGTTGATAGAAAACATTACTCTATTTGCCGTAACTGATCACATGTTCCTTAACAATGTAATACGTCCACTTTATGTAAGTAATTTACTCGTCTAGCCTTTCGGACTCCTGCACACCACTCGACTGAGCACCGGCCGATTCCGCCACCCTGTCCCTCCATTCAACCCTACCTTTTAGTAGCAACGTGGGATGTGGCGGAAACGGCCGCCGATTGGCTGACGAGAAAATTAAGTAAAAATTAACACTCTTTATATTCTAATACTTAAAATTAAAAGTGTGCGTAATTATTTCAACAATCTACAATAAAACTATTCTACATATTGTAGATAGTTACAGGAATTCGAGAGGATGTAGGTTATATTTTTCTGTATCTAAAGGAGCAATAAACATGTTTGACGTAACTCCACTTATGCCATTCTTCCATAAGGGGTGCGACATGTCGGAGTAATCACGTAATATACACAAAAAAATACAGTCGAATTGAAAACCTCCTCCTATTTTTGAAGACCGTTAAAAATAGTTTCATTTCCTATGTGTAACAATCACGAAAACCTAACAACTGAACATAATTTTAAAATATAAATAAATAAATTATAATTGGACGTAGTTAAACAAAAAGGATCCAATCCACAAAATTAGCAAAAAATGAGTTATATGTACCAAACGGTTCTAACAAATAAATATCTCTAGAGTTACATGACATTATAAGTTTTGAGAATAAAACAAGAGTGAGAAACATTTTTAAACTTCAAACTGCCATATCTCGAACGTAACTGCATATGCATTGGATACTTTTTGTTTAACTACGTCCAATTATGCCACCATTAGTAATGTAAATTCAATTTAACGTAATTCTCAATTATTTACTTCATTAATAAATAAATAAAAATAAAAATCTTTTATTTTCAGACACCATAGGTCCATAGTTTGTTAGTAAGCAACCTTATACTATATTAGTAACAAATGACTGTACGGTGAATTTATTTATACATTAAAATTTTAAAAATCGAAAAGTCAAAATATTCAAAATACATAATATAAAAGTCACTGAAATAATAATGATAATTTAGTCGAAAGTAAAAATTTAAAATACTAAAATTCACAATTAATAAAATAACAACTAAAATTCAAATTAGCTAATATAATAATAATTAACATGAACAAAACTAAAATTTTTGAAATCACATCTCATAGAGTAATTCATTACATTAAAACTACTATTACAATTACTACTACTTACTTAGTAACTATTTTTGTGTGCGAGATGCATCTGTCAACACAATGTGCTATGATTGGGCAATCATGTCGCTCTGCTATTACCCTTAGGATGGAATTGGAACTACCCCATAGTCTGCAGAGCAGCAAGGCCGTTTTCTTTCACATGATGCCATTAAAATCATCTATATTAAGCGTACGCAAAAAAAAATTAATAATAATAATATTCGGTTATTTCCATTTTTTTTCGAATTCGATTGAATTGTTATGTAATGTAATGTAGTAAGTATTGTTTCATTTATTAATGGGTGTTTACCTAAATAAAGAAACATTTTATTTATTTATTTATAATCATGTGATTGATTCAATCACAACATTTGATTGATTTTATTAATCTCCTTTAGACAAGCGTCGGAAGATTTTCAGTGAAATATTCTGAACGGACGCTGCAGACTTGTCGCTTGTTAGACAATACACAAAGCCTTTGTTAAAGCAATCAGGTTTACTAATGCATACATATTCTCATCATATCAAGACGTGGGCGTCTCTCAGTGGGATTCTTATAACCGCCACTATATATATATATTTAATTAATTTACCCAGTTCTTAAGTTTTTTCTGAGACTATTTTTTTCGTATCTAATATTATATTTGTTTTTTAAAGCAAACAGTAATTGCATAGAGCTAGAAACGTTGGTTTGTTTGAAGAAAATTTTACGTGTAAGTTATTGTATCAAAATAATCATAATTTATCGAGTTCGTGGGCTTTCACGATTGTTAAACATAGGAAATGGAACACTTTGTCGGATGTAAACCTTTTCTAAAATTATTTATATTATTCTCGCTTCATTTGTTTTCTAAATGTTGTACATAGTCAGATTTTTAACATTTGTTTTTCAAACAATCCGACCTTTCGAGCTCGTTACGGGTCCCATGATTACAGCTAACTGAGATGCTAAAGTTTCTTGTCGAGTAAATTGGAACGTTATTTGGTAAATTAAGAACAAGGTATATAAATTAATAACTCTAACTACAGTGGCGTAAAGGGTGTTTTGCATCAATATTAGATATAACTGTTTGATTACTTTTCCATCTTAGTCAACTGTGACCATAGGATCTGTAAAGGACCCGCACATTGATTTATGTCCAAAAATAATAGTTTCATTGAATTTGTTACACACCGGTTTTCATGGTGTCATCGTCTCTGAGGTCTCGGGTTGAATCTGCGGCCGGGTCAATGTAGAATATTTTCTGTATTGTCTCGGGTTTGGGTGTTTGTGGTACCATCATTGTTTCCGATGTCCATAACACGTGCTTTATTTACTTACTATGGGATCGGAGCAACGTATGTGGTGTTGTCTAATAATACTATTTCACATTATATCAATCAAGTGCGATAAAATTTTCATCTTTGACGGAACGATAATCTGATAGAATTGTACTTATTTGTGCTCCTCAAAAAATATTTTTTGTAGTGGTGAATACTTGAAATTCTTTATTAAATTAGCAAAACTAGTGCTTATAACTTCGCGGTTTAGTAAATCGTCAGTTCACAGTGAAGAAACTATCGTGTTTTACGTGTTTTTTTACAACTATTTGGTACAAACTGTGAATGGTATCAGTGAGTAAATACCCTCCAGTATTTTTGATCGCGCGCGCTCTACTAGTGAATCTCGCCATTCCGTAGCTTTCGTGCGTATAACGTAAGAGCGATTCTTGCGTGTGCACGCTCCTAACTCGCAACATTGACCCTTGCGCTGCGTCAACGCACAAAGACTAACATCGCAGACGCGTCATTCATAATCAACCACTACGGGAATTCTCTCAGAGACAAATCATAAAAATTATTTAGTAAAGCACTACCAGAGTCAGAAGCTGTGCAATTACACGATGGTTTGCTTAGCGTGTAACAACAGAACAAGTCGAGCAGAGGTCATAGAATGTGCTACCTGTAAGGGATGCTATCACTATAAGTGTCTAAATATGACGGTCACCACTTATACCGCCAGTAAACGTAACTGGGTTTGCCCTTCTTGTTCCGTGACGAAGAAACGTGTTAAAGGTGATGAAACACCAATCCGTGGGCAATTAGAACAGCTCCCAGTCGAGCCAGATGTGTCTTGTGATGATTTGGGTTCTGATTGTGTCGCAACTAATGCGGCTGGTGGTTCGAAGGGTTCGTCGACTACAGATATTGCTAACGTCTTACAAGAACTACGAGCATTTAGAAACGACTTTGTAGGCATGAGATCTGATATCCGCAGCATCACGAACAGTATTCAGCAAATTAATACAAGATTTGGCGAAATAGAATCTCGTTTAAGCGACATTGAGGATAGACTGATAGAGAATGAAAAGAAAACTGCAGTGATTCCTAAATTAAAGCAAGACTTAGATTTAGCTAAGAGCACTATATCGGTACTGGAAAATGAGTTGCAACAACGGGATCAATTAGCCAGGATGAATAACATCGAGATATCGGGGATACCCATTACTGCTGGTGAGAACCTCTTCACACTGTTACGGGGCATTAGTAATAAGGTTGGATACTCATTAGACGATCGTGACATCGATAGTGTCATGCGTGTGCGAAGATTCGAATCGAGCAATATGTCTAGTGAATCAAGCACACCGCGCCCGCCTGCCATCATTGTGAAATTTACTCGGAGGCTGTGTAAGGACACATTCCTAGCAGCCGTGCGTTCGCGACGCGGCCTAACTACTGCTGATGTTGACCTCCCGGGTCCCTCGCTCAATGTGTACGTATCGGATCACCTCACTCCTCAAAATAAACAGTTGTTAAAGCGTGTCAGACAGCTCAAAACTGACCTGGATTATTCTTATATATGGATTAGAGACTGCAAGATACTGATGCGCAAAAACGAAAGGTCAAAGGTCGTCGTCATCAAGAATGACACCGACCTTTCTAAGTTGAAATGACTTTTATTCCATATTTTTGTAGTTTTTAGCACTAATCAGGCTCATGTATATTTACTTTTTGATGTTGATCGCTCTTTTGTTTATATTACTGTTTTGTGTCTATACTTCACATTTTGTTTTTCTGCTTTTGGTTACATGGCAACTCTTAACTATGTACATTGCTCTCAACTTATAAAATGTTTATATTTAATGATGCTACTATATAATTGCTTGCAATGAGGTATGCATGAAATTCCATATTATAATATTATCAATTCCAATTTAATTTTATTAAATAATCAAATGGTGAAAAATAAATGTTTATTTATATTAATTGATTTTAATGGATCATAAACTTATGTTAGGTTATTATCAGAATGTAAGGGGTTTACGTACAAAAACACACAGTTTTCTATCAAAGGTGGCTGTTGCCGACTATGATTTTGTATGTGTGACTGAAAGCTGGTTGACACCAGATTTTTATGACCGTGAGTGTTTCGATAGCAGGTACGTAGTATTTCGCAGTGACCGTTCCTATGAGGAGAGTGGTGCAAAGCGTGGCGGTGGAGTTATGGTGGCAGTTCGCGCTAATCTAATGCCGCTTCGACGGAGCTGGCCAACCCCACCGTGCTCCGATTCCGAATGTGTATGGCTATCTATACCTTTAAATATTGGCGGTAATAAATACTTAAACATCGCCTGTGTTTATATACCAGATGGAAAAGGTTACCGTGACGCGCTTGAAGCATTTTTTAATATTGCTAGTGAAATATTAAACGATCGCCCGAATGATTCATTTTTGCTTGTAGGTGATTTTAACATTACCTATGCAGTGTGGCAGGAAACTAGCTCTTTCAACAAAATGCTGGGGAGCGGTGGAAACCATGCAGTAAAATCGTTGAGAGATTTTTTGGCTTTCACTAATCTGCAACAGTTTAATGGTGCTTATAATGCCAATAGCAGAATCTTGGACCTAGTCATGAGCAATATTAATTGTGAAGTCACTACTTGTACTCAACCGCTAACCCCGGAAGATATACACCATAAGTCAATAGAAATTTGCTGTAACATTGACAATTTTAAAGCATTGCATTTGGCTACCACATATAATTACAATTTCTATGCAGCGGATTTTGATTCTATTAATAAAGAACTTGATTGCATAAACTGGTCTAAAGTATTTAACAATTTAAATTTGGAGGAATGCGTCTCTAATTTTTACAATATTTTAAGAAATAATATTTCAAAATTTGTTCCTCGTAAAATAATCAGGTCGTCACAATCCGTTCCTATATGGTATACTAAGCCCCTAAGAAAACTTCTAAATGAAAAAAGAAAATATCACAAACTATGGAAATTGTATGGGAATCCCTTGGACTATCAGAGTTTTAATGTTTTAAGAAAAAGAGCTAAGCGTATGGAAACCGAATGTCATAGTAATTACATAAGATACACAGAAGATAAAATTAAAACTAACTCTAAGTATTTTTGGACATATGTTAAAGCTATTAAGGCTAGTAATGGGATACCGCGTACAATGGTATACAATGGGATTAGTAGTAATGACGGAAAACAAATTTGTGATTTCTTTAATGAATACTTTCATTCGGTATTTGTGAATAATGATAGCCAGTCGCAGATTAATGATTCGGATCTTCCTGAAAATACAATCTTAGATATTAGTTCGGTCGAGATTAGCACAAAGTCTATCAACACATACCTTAAAAAAATTAACGTTAACAAGGGTGCTGGGCCGGACGGCATACATCCTTTGTTAATCCGTATGTGCGCTGATGCATTAAGTTATCCCCTCACTCACATTTTTAGGTTGTCTTTTAACAGTGGTTGCATTCCTCAAGTTTGGAAAAGTGCTTGGATAACACCTATTCCCAAAGGTAAGGTAAGTGATAATGTCGTAAACTATCGGCCGATTTCAAAACTATGTCAATTCGCTAAAATACAGGAAAAGCTCGTTACCGATCAGCTATTTGCGGTTGTCCAGCGCGCCATAGTACCAAACCAACACGGTTTTTGTAAAAAGCGTGGTGTGGAGAGCAACTTACTGACTTTTACGGAGCATATATTGTCAGCTATGGATGAAAATGTGCAAGTAGATGCTATATACACAGATTTTGCTAAAGCCTTTGACAAAATTCGACATGACACCTTACTCCATAGGCTCGGGCAGCTCGGAATACATGGCGATTTGCTTCGTTGGATACGTTCGTACGTGGAGAATCGTAGTCAGGCCGTTGTACTATGTGGTTATCGTTCTGCATATTTGAATATTCCCTCTGGAGTTCCTCAAGGTTCACATTTGGGACCCTTACTATTTATTATTTATGTCAATGGTCTTACTAAGTCCATTCAACACTCAAACGTATTACTATATGCTGATGATACTAAATTATATAGAGTTGTTAGAGAAACACACGATGCAGCGTTACTGCAGAATGATGTGAATGATTTCGTTGACTTTTGTAATAATAATAATTTATTCTTGAATCCAGATAAATGTTTTACTGTTTCTTTTACACGAAAGAAAAAACCTATTATATATACATACAAAGTTAATGGTAGGGATCTCAATCGTGTAAATGAAATCAGGGATCTGGGGGTGACAATGGATTCCAAACTGTCTTTTATTCCTCATATAGATAAAATTGTTGAGAGTTCATTCAAATTATTGGGTTTTATTTTACGCGTGGGAAAACCCTTTAAAAATGCTTACACTTATAAACTATTATTTAATAGCTACGTCCGAAGTAGACTGGAATTCGCGTCTTCTGTTTGGCATCCTTTTCAACAAGTCCATCGGGACAAAATTGAAAAGTTACAAAAAAAGTTTATCAAATCTTTAGATTACAGAATCGGCCACCAGCGCATAGATTATGAATCATCCCTTACATTCCATAAGACAAACACTTTAAAGCAACGTCGTGAAATCGCTGACATTGCATACTTGTATAAAATATTAAATAATATGGTTGATGTCCCCTTCCTTTTGGAACGAATTAATTTTCGTGTACCCCGTAAGCAAGAAAGAACAAATCGCAAGAAAATACTATTCGCAATAAAATCTAGTAAGACTTGCTATGGAAGTAATAGTTTTATAAAGAGAGCGTGTGCCTTATATAATGATAAAATGAATGATGCAGATATGTTTGTTAAGTCGCTACCAAAATTTAAAAAGCATATCACTGAACTTACTAGTGTAATAACTTAAAAGTATATTTAGTATATTTCCTATTTTTAAAATGTTTTTCCTGTTCGTTATGTGTGAAATGTTTGCATTAAAATATCATATTGTGTAATGCTTGTCCATTTTATATTTTGTATATTCTATCAGATTTCCTGTGTATTTTTCATATTTTGTAGTAATATGTATTTATAATTTTGTAAAGTAATATTATCTTAAATTTACATTTAGGGGACTATAGGTTTATTAATAAGTTCATTTTTGTATATTTTTTTCTACTGTATATAACTGTTTGTTCCTAAATAAATTAAAAAAAAAAAAAAAAATTCTTACACTTAAAAACGTAATTTTTGAAACTACTGCTCGTTCACTACGCTGACCTCCTTGAGAAGAACGAGCAAGAAACTTTAGGGATTGCTCTTTTCAAATAAACCTTAATGCAATATATTTGGAATCATATTTGTGTGGAATCTAGGCTCACGTTGTCTTTCCATATATCTTTATCTAACACGTAGTCTACAATTTTGTAATATGACTTTTCAATTAAAATTTTAAACTTAGGAAATGGTAAACTTAACCTCAGACGAACACTTTCACAAGGACAAGAACAAGAACACTTTCTCTATTGCTACTAATTACTATTATATTACTATCTTTCCTAAATATTAATCATTTATTATTAGAATTGTAACGAATATTCATTATGAAACCCGTAAAAACTACGAAATGTTGTTTTGTTGCAAAAAAAAAACAAATATACGCGACTTAGAACCGACAGAATAGTTCAATTTCTAATCATAGTTTCTATTTCAATTGTAATCCTAGTATCATTCTAGTATCTATTAAATGGAGTATGCTAAGATTTATCATTAAGCGTGACTCATCATTTCTGTACAATCGTTAACAAGACAAAGCACGTGATCTGTTCTCAAGAGAAACACAGGAAATGTGGATCACAGTATATTATCGCAATTCAAGTGATTCAAGAACAAAGGAACGAGATATATTATTAGAGACAAAATACTGATGCATGATAAAGGATCCATTACATTAAGATAAAGAGGAAAATGAATTACTTTGCGAGCAGAAATCATTATTCATATAATGAGGTGATAAAATGGTTACAAAAGACAATAGGGAATCGGACAAGTTTTTAGAAAGTACGTTCTAGAGTGGTGACTGCGACACGTGGCGTACTACGTCCATACAGTGAAGCAAAACGTGGATCTAAAACCTAAGAAGACTATCCTTTCGGAGACATTGTGAAATCTTGAACCTACGTAGTTTATTTTTTTATTTATTTAAACTTTATTGTACAACACAGTGAAGTACAAATGGCGGATTTAATGCCATAAGACATTCTCTAACAGTCAACCATTGGGCCAAACAGAAAAAAAAAACACAATAGTTTGGTGCTACACGTAAGCAAGAAGGACAATATACTAGACAACTAATCGATAATTTGTATGGTAAAAATAAATAACATACTATGAACATACTTATTATACATACGTAATAAACTTACATATATATATTATAATAATTAATAATATTATATATGTATTAATTAAATTTTTATTGAATTGATATTCAATTATTTTCTGTGAAATTACTCCACTAGTTTGTTATAATTATTAATACAAAGATCGAACAATCAGAAAAAACACTCAGTAAAAATTCCTTTGATCCGGTCGGATTCGAACCGACGTCTTCTTGCATACCGTGCCAGACGCTATACCAACTAAGCCACGGAACGAACCAACGGACCTCACGAATTTTTTTATGTGCTTGGGTCGTGTCTTTGTACATGGTCTTTCAACGA